AACTTTAACCTACATGTGTTTTGTGCCATTAAGAGTGATTTCCAACAGGAGCTGCACTGGAGCAAATGCTACCCATTTTCATGACCGCTGTGCTGCTGCTACTGTTGAAGCCAAACTCCTGTCTCTTGAGGGCAGATGGGTTAGTCGTTCTCATTTCCACCACGGCCATGTCAGATGTGCGTAGACAGCAGCTAGATCCTGTTTCAGGCCTGTCCCGGTCACAGTTATGAAATACCAGCCCCGCCGCAGACTATTTTAAGGCCAGCCACAGCCATGCCCGGCCCATGCCCAGATCCTGCTCTCATCTGGAGACGCTGTCTGAGGCATGTTCCCCCCACATCCCCACAATTGCAGAGCACAGAGCCAAAGCCATCAGGAGCATCAGTCAAGAAGCAGAGATAAAGTGCAGTCTCTGGGGAGGCAGAGGGGTGATGAGGGGGTTTGGAGCGGAGACAGACACCTCTGACGTCCGCTCTGACAGCGCAACCCAAGCAAACCTTTCCGCTTCGTTCTGGAGGTTGACCATACCCATTCCATCAGTTTCATAGTAAATCAAGCAGCAGATTGTTTTTGAATTAGGATATTTAGGGCATTTTCAGTGATATTCAAGGGCAAGCATGGAGAATCACTTTGACTTGGATGGATTCAAAATAGTATGTTGTGGTACACATTTTATTTGTTTTAAATGCAAACCTTATGGACCTGGCTTGTAACTCACTTAGTTGCTCATTCACTCCCTCAAGTACTCTCTTGTGTTTAGGAGCAATAGCAGACTGGAGATTCTCCACAAGGGGGCGCTATTAGCACTAAAGTAGTTTTGTGTGCATCACTGAAAGGAGGGAAACTGGCATGAACCCACAACATTTCATAAATGCAGGCATGGGAAAAATAAACTATAAACATTTAAATGAGTTAAAGTCAAAAAGTGTCTAAATGTCAGTACTCAAGTACAAAGTAAATATTCTAATAGACAGAATTCAGAGTCAGACTATGCTTTTTTCTTTGTTTTTTACATTCAAGTGACTTTAAAGGGGCACTATATAAGATGTGTTGTTATATCTGAAAGAAGTAGTATGAGAAAAAAAGAAAATTCTAAAATGTGGTGTGTGCGCTCCTGTGAGTCACTCTGTAAAGTCTGAAATAACCATTTAAAGATCACAGGTGTTGGGTCTGACTTTGTGGGAGTTTTTTTGGTCCACATTAAATGTCTTTATGTATTAACATCATACACAGGCTCAAACAGAATGTTTAGGTCTTTTATTTCAAAACTGCACCAGGGGGGTTTAATTGCACCAGGTCTTTTATATTGCACAGGGGTTGAACTAAGGGTTTAAACTGCACCACTAGGTTTAAGATTGCACCAGGGGTTTTAGAGTTCACCAGGGATTCAACATTGAACAAGGGGTTTTAGACTGCACCAGGGGTTTGAGACTGAACTAGGGGTTTTAAATTGTACTAGGGATTAGGACTGAACTAGGGGTTTTAGACTGCTCCAGGGGATTAAGACCAAACTAGGTGTTTTACACTGTACCAGGGGCTTAAGACTGAACTAGAGGTTTTAGACTGTACCAGGGGCTTAAGACTGAACTCTAGGTTTTAGACTGTACCAGGGGTTTAAGACTGAACTACGGGTTTTAGACTGTACCGGGGTTTAAGACTGAACTAGGGGTTTTAGACTACATCAGGGGTTTAAGACTGAACTAGAGATTTTAGACTACATCAGGGGTTTAAGCCTGAACTAGGGGTTTTAGAATGCACCAGGGGTTTAAGACTGAACTACAGATTAAGGCTGCACCAGGGGTTAGGACTGAACTAGGGGTTTTAGACTTCACCAGGGGTTTAAGACTGAACTAGTGGTTTTAGACTGCACCAGGGGTTAGGACTGAACTAGGGGTTTTAGACTACATCAGGGGTTTAAGACTGAACTACGGATTAAGGCTGCACCAGGGGTTAGGACTGAACTAGGGGTTTTAGACTACATCAGGGGTTTAAGACTGAACTAGTTGTTTTAGACTGCACCAGGGGTTAGAACTGAACTAGAGGTTTTAGACTGCACCAGGGGTTTAAGACAGAACTAAGGGCTTTAGACTGCCCCAGGGGTTAGGACTGCACAAGGGTTTTAGACTGCACCAGGCATTAGGACTGTACCTTGAGTTTAAGACTACATCAGGGGTTTTAGATTACATGATTACACCAGTGGTTTTTAGATTGCACCATAATTATAACTAAATGCTGAATAAATATGGTTCAAAATAGGCTCCTCTATTTAACTGGAGCATGACATGAAGCTAAAACCTGTCAGAGGAACTGAGTTTAATGGTCAAATGAGTGACCCCAGTATAATTTACTGTTTGCTCTGGGTTGGTAAGCATATTGTTCCACATTCTCTTCAGGGAAAGCAATGAAATCCTGCCCCTCACTGCCCGTACTGCCTCAGGCAGGGGGCATTATAGGTGGGCGCCAGGCTGGCATCCCTGCTCTTGCATAAGCCTTTAATCTCATCACCCATCACTTCTCCTGCTAACTTTTGGGAAGGGGGGGCCTTTTGTCCCAAAACAAAGGCAGGTCCTCACACTGTCCGCTATGGCTTTTTGTTTTGGATTTTTGCCCTCATCCATTCACTACCAGTAAGCAGAACACAAGGAGGAGTTACAGGAATAAGCAGAAAGGAATGAGGGTGTTTATAGGGGTTGATAAAGGTGGATCTAGGCTGTGACAGTACCTGAGGTTTATTTAAGATATTTGAGGTGCAGGATGTGTTTTCTGATGTAAAATCTTATTTACTGAAGCTCTGAATAGAGGTGTTAAATTACCTTAGCTACAGAGCAACTGCAGCTAGGTTTATTTTAGGCTTTCTGGCTCTCTCATTTTGTTTGTTTACTTGTTTACTTGTTTACCTCTTCATGAAAAGCAAACAAGTAAAAACACAAATAGTGTACTTAATTACTTCCATTAAGTAACATTATTTTTTTCTCCCGAGACTATAGGAGGGAATAATGTGCTTAGGGTTGAAAGGGAAAACCACACTGCGCATTTTCAAGATTAAGCTTGTTTTTGAATCTGCTGTGCATTATATTAATGTATTGTGCATGATGAAAGGAAACACCACGTTGACTGGAATTAGAAACACAGGGAGACACTGGCGGTTATTTTGCTCATTTTGTTGACATTTCAATATGAGACCAAAGGGCCTGCGTTCACCAATCACTCATGACTGTAAGAGCTCTGGTTCTTTTGTAAATCATACTTAGTCCTGTTCATGGTGCCTTCCGCAGATCTAAGTAGGAAATTAAATACAGAGTATGTGAGGACAATAAGACTTTTCAGCCCATGAGTTACATTCACTAACATAAAGTTAATCACTGAGCTCAAAAGGTTTTTTCAAGCCTCATTTCCACCAAGACCACAAAAAAGGAATTCAGTCTCTTTATTCTCCAAAAGAATTCCTCTCTTTCTCAGTGCAGTTTACATGAAACCGGGTGCGACAAATTGATTAATTAGGTTATTCCATATCAAATGTAAGTAGTAAAGGGAAGAAATTAATTAAAAGTCAACTTCTTAAGAAAAAAAAAATAAAAGTCAAAGCAGACAACAACCTTCATATTCCAAAGGAATGTTCCAGTATATTTCCTCCAAAAACCTTTTTCAATTTTTCAGAGTTTAAAATAATGTCATAAACAAATTAAGGACACATATGATCCAGTGATGTGCACCATTACTTTGTTTCATGCCAGCCATTGTATTACAGCAAAATTAAGTAAAATACTTTCTCTAATTTTACTAAATAATTTTAGCTCTACCAATTTGATTAAAGGAAGGTGGACAGAGCTGGAGCTGTATCACCAAAGCCATAAACTTGATGAAAAAAATGATGTCATTATTTCATTACTTCTTTAAAATGACTTGCAAAAAAAGTGAAAAAAGTGAGAAGTACACAAAGAATCTGAAGTATTCATAACATGAAAGACTAGAATCTTAACCGATTTTCAAGAGCCAGTAAACCAGAAACTGATGTAATCAACAACGGCTTTACAAGTCATGTTCTGCGTGTGGTTTGCACAAGCCACCTCATTAAGTGCACATGTATTACATGTTAATGTTACTGGAGCCCTGTGGAGTGTCAGTCATTAATCAACACCTACCACAAGTGGTGAATTCAAAGGGTTAAAGTAGAAGCACAAACAGCATGATAAATGGCTGTGGTTAACTCTTTAAGTCTGGGGACCACAAACATTGTTTGGCTCTAAATGCAGATACCTGCAATCTCTCCTGAAAGATGCAGTTCATTAGTTCCTTAATTGGGTTTACCCAGTGAAAGCATGTTCTGCCAAACCACAGCAGATCTGGCTGTGTCCCAAGCCTCTCTGCTGGTTAGGGTACAAGAAGAAGCAGATTTAGGGTAAATGGACTACAGATTTAGCTCACTGACTACTCTACAAACCTTGGTGAATAGACTTAACCTCTCAAAATCCCAGGCTTTTTACATACTTAGCCTCATTGTTCGGTAACTACAGGGACTTCAGTGCAAACTGGCAGAGCTGTATGTAATGTAATGTAATGGAACTTTACATTTACATGGTTAATTAATTCAGAACAGTAGGAGGTTGTAGGCTTGCACAAGTTGATTCTTACCAGTTGAATGATTTTAGGTTTGTTTCCCGTTAGTGCCCTGTGGTGAAATTATTGGTGAAATCATTGTCAAACTTGATTGGCTTATCGCCTTTATAAAACACCAACAACAATATGATCTCACAGAACCACTGACCAATTGTGCTCGACACAGAGGAATTTGACCTCAACATTTAACCCACAAATGCAGTGAAACACACACATGCACACACACTAGGGGGCAGTGAGGACACTTGCCTAGAGCAGTGGGCAGCCTCATCCACAGCACCCAAGGAGCGGTTGGAGGTTGGGTACCTTGCTCAAGGGCACTTCATTCATGTCCGCTTAGGGGATCAAACCAGTCACAAGGCTGGTACCTTAACCTCCAGCTCACACCTACATGGTTAGAGATGCCACTAAGTAGGCGGCAATGCTTCAACCAGGTATGTGCCACTAGGACCTCTTCCATCCTTGTCAAGGGGAGCCTTTACTCCTTTCACACAATACAAATACACAAATTTATGATAAATAATTGAATGTACTTTTGAAAATACTCTGTAATGATTTCACTGTAAAATAACAGTAAATGACTGGCTACTAGTTGTATTATCTTCACAGTAAATTACAATACCATATTAACGCAAATAACCATAAAATAGCAACTGTATACTGTGACTTCACTGTCACCTGGACTGCAAGATTGCAGTGATGTAGCTGTATTCTCCTGTACACTTACTGTTAGAAGTCATAATTGAAATTCAGTAATCTCCTGTATTTTCACATAACAATTGTAAAAATAGTGCAGCTCAGCCAGTAATTTACTGGAAATTTACATCAGAAAAAAAGACTTTTCATTTTACTAGACCTGTAAATATATTAATTAAAACAAAAATCATATCAATTAACATATTTATTCACCATGTTTTCACCGTTGATGACTATCTCAAATATGCATTTTAAAAATACACATTTCACAGACATTTTCACTGCTTATTATTTGCACAAACATGACCAAAAACATCTGTCAATACCAATAAACAGTAACATTTATGGCAACACCTCAGTAGTCCGGCATTTCAACAAACAAGCCCGCACACGCACGCACACGCACACACACACACACACACACACACACACACACACACACACACACAAAATAAAAAAAACCTTTAAATCTTTAAAGTTTTAAAATGTGATGAATCTTAAAATGGTTGATTTCCCAATAAAATGATGAATGCAGAATTGTACTGTAAAAATTAGTGGTAAATATGGCAAAATCCTGGAAAAAATTAATAGTGTAATAAATAATTCTTCCACCAAGAAATGTAATTCATTTAGAGTAGGCTTTGGTTGCCAAGCATACATGGACTGCAGAACAGGGACCTTTTTAAATGAAGTTTTATCATATAATAATGAACATGCATCAATTGCACATAATGTAGCAACATTTAATAAAGATGCCTTCACTTTTTAAGCAGTTGGTTGTCTCATAATGCCTCTGTGGGGTTTTTAGAACACTAAGCTAATGGCGGTGCACATTCACTTCCCCTGCTACTTCTGGCAGCTCTTGCTTAACTGAAGGTGTAGGACATTCAATTGATATATTCTTGGTATGTCCTTCAGCAAACACTACAACTTAAAGCCTAACTCTAAATATTAATGAAGGAGCCTGTTAACTTGTTACCTATCTACCGAGCTAGTCAGTCTAGATCTAGCTGTTAAGGAAATAAGTTGATAGCTCCTCAGTTTAAACAAAATCAAGTTCTTATGTTTAATAAGATTTTGGGCTTTTTTGTTTCAAATACAAAAGATGATGCCTTGCTGCAATTATCAGTACTACTTGCAAACAACATACATTTTATAAAATACATTTTAGTTCTAAGGAAAATCGACATGAATGCAGATCAGAGGTTCCACCCTGTTACCGGAGATCTACAGTACAACAGACTTTAGCCACCCTGCAAGTTACAGAAAACATCAAGGTTTATTACTCTGAAACTGTAACTAAACTCTGCAGGACACTATATTTCAAGGAGTCGGGTTGGGCACCTCTGGTGTAGATGATGATATAGCCAGCTGCATATTTTATTTGACTCGCTCTGCTATGCAGTGAAGCATGGCACTGAGGCAAAGATGGCATTGAGACAGAGAGAGAGAGAGACAGAGAGAGAGAGAGAGAGAGAGGGAGAGAAGGAGAGAGAGAGAGATGTATGACTGTATAATAGTGTGGCGTGCTCATAAGGGTAATCAGTCGTGGAACACAAGTCTAATGGCCTGTAATGTTCTGTTTCCTGATATTAAGTCCAATCAGCAATCAAAGTGCCCAGCTATTCATGATCTTATAAAAACACATTTTGGAACACTACATCCAACACACTCCTCATTCTTTACCCTTCGTCTCTCACTAATGAAATGAAAAAGTAAAAGAAAGCAGCCAGTTTAAGAGAGCCAATAAGAATGGACCCTGGATTTTTTTTGGAGGGAAACAGGGCACATTCCTTGTGTTCATTAGCTTAAAGAGAAAATAGACTGCAGAACAAATTAACGTTAACTTTAATTTCTGGTTTTACATGAGTATAAAAACCTGGAGTGGACCACGGAATGTGAGGGGAGGGGGAGCGTGCCTAGAGAGGCCACTGAAAATGGAGTGGCTGCATTTTTAACAGGGAGACTCGAGTTGGTTTTGGCAGCATGGCTTGCTATATGACTCTGGAGTACTTTTGTGTTTCTCATTATGCTATTTGGAGCATATGAAAAAGGTTAGTTGCTATAACTGTGGCTAGCAATGTGCTAATCACCACCGCAGCCAACTCTGTTTAGACTCCTGGGCAAGGTAGCAGGCCTTCAGGTAGCCTAATCAGGTAATAGATACACATACCAATAGGAAAAGCTAGCAAATAACCATCAATGGCTAAGCCAAAAACAGGGTGTATTTTATTGTTACGCCTGAATGTTTTAGACTGTCCTAGGGCTGTTTTCAACCTGTGGGCTACAGCTCACCAGTGGGCCGTGGTTGTGCTGCTAGGGGGGGCCGACAGCAGTCATTTATTACTAAAACAAAAAAAAACTTCATTACAATATGTAGACATTTAACTTAGCCAACAGTTCTCAAAGTGACAAATATTGCAATCTAAATACCTAAATATTGAAGTTGAGCTCAGTGATTGGTCTGACCAATGTAGCTGATGTAGCTAGATGTTCATACATTCAATGCTAGTCAATGTAAAACTGTTCTCTTTTTGATCATATGGAATTGATCCACTATGGATAAATAGCTGCAAACAGAAAACATTAGAGGTTTTATTGTGTTTATTTTGTTGTGTGACTATACAGTCAAATGAAATTTGATAGGCTACATTCAACTCAAAATTATTTGAATAGTGTTTTTACATCTGGCAATACATTTTTTTGTGGGCCATGAAATCTTTTGTGGTCAGTTGTGTGGGCCATGAGTTGCAAAAGTTTGGGGATCCCTATCCTAGAGTGTTTTTTTGGCTTTCTGTTAAAGTAGTCGGCAGCATGCCACATAACTTTTAGATGAGTTACTGCTATAAGCTTAACAGCACGTCAATTTGTCACTAGCTGTAACAGCTACAGCAATAAATGTTCAGTTTCTGTGTTTATCACCTGCCTTCATTCTTTTTTAGTCTTAGGACCTATTAGCTGTAAAACAAAGACATCAAATATGTACCAAAGATGCCCTGTCTCTCCTTGATCATTCTATATAAAAGAGGGATTCTTGTACTGAATACTGTAAAAGTCAGAGGTGTCCAAAGTCCAGCCCCAGGGCCAAATGCGGCCCATGGGCAGATTTTAATTGGCCCATGGCCTCTATTTTAGGGTGGGTTACAACTAGCCTGCAAGCCAGTACGTTGCAGTTTTTCCTTTTACCTGATGGCGGCAGCAGTACTGTAAACATACAGTGTAATGCACTGCACTGTGGTAACAAAGTTAGCTAAAGTTTAAGACCCTCTGACAACACCTGCAGCTTAATTTACTGAATGACATTTACAGCCATACTACACTACAGTCATAACGCACAGACGTAACATTGAAAACTAGACATTTGGCGAGATGGAAATTAGAATAATTTTTAACATGTGCCTCATATTCCAAAAGGCTATAATGAATTCAATATCAATAAACATGAAACAAAGCATGGATGATACAATAAATATTCAGGAGAAGGCAGAGAAATGAAAGCAACTGCAAGCTACTTGAGTCTTACAGCACCAGCTTCTTATCAGATCAAACTAGATAGTTCAGCAAATATTAACCCTTTAAGGCAGAACAAAAATGTGGCTATTTATGCTGTTTAATCTGCTCTTTCATCAATCTAATATTTCTTATTTTGAGATGGCTGTGTTCTTATTATAAGATTATCTAGCTTATTTCTAGACATTTTTACATGTCTTAAGTAATTTTATCAAGAAAAATTATCTCACTATACTGGCAGATAATTTTGCTGGTTTCAAGCACATTTCTTAAAACAAGCAAAATTATCTTTATTTTATATTTTAAAAGAAACCTTGTGCATCTTTTATCCTGTGATAGGAAATATGGTAACACACAGAAGGTTCCAATGCCTCTATGTGCTGACATTTTGAAAACATGATATTTTAAATCATTTGTGAATAATATTTCAGCTTTCAGGTATTTTGGCATGATACAATCTGGTCCCTTTTTGAGAAAAAGTTTGGACACCCCTGGCATTAGTTAAGGCTTAGATGCTATTAAGCCTCAGTACTGTGGGAAACGTTGAGGCTGCAGGCTGAGGTTAAAAAAAGCAACTTTTCCTACTACCCCAAATCAAATTAGATACTTCCTAAGATGTTTTGAAGAGAAACACCTGGGCGGTCCGGCCCAGGGGGTCAGGATTGGAATGAGCTGCAGGTTCCCAGGCTTCAAGCATAACAGAAATTCCATCAGCATTATGTTGCACAATAAATAAATAAGAAATTTCTATGATGATGATACTGAAATCACAGATCTTGAGGCCCGAAGTGCCATCAGGCTCCTGCAGAGCTCTGACGTGCTATACCCACCGAGGTCAACATGGCCTCCTCTCCTCTTCCCCAACCTTTCTAGGATTAGTCTGCTATGATTTAACGCTGCTCTCTCCTGACCTCTGGAATGCAACGAATGACGGATCTATTTTCCTACATTGTTTCACCTGCTCTAAATGGAACCACATGTTGCGAGGGACCGCCTCGCTGCTTTTGTCCGTAATTGGAAGCATACTGAGTGTGGTGTAGGGCTATAGGCCACTGAAGGGCTCTGCATGGGTCTGGGCCATGACATGTTGGATGGAAAGAACACAGGGACGGTGTAATGACACTGGAATGGGGCAAAGCTGGAGAAGTATTTAACTGGCTGTGAATAAAGCTTTAGCATGAGGGTGACCATATCCATCACACGTGCTCTTGAATTTGAATCTGAGCCTACAGTGAATGGCTGTTTGAGGCAATTGTAACCTGGAAAATGCTGAACACTTAGGAAACTTAGTT